ACCACTACGACCACTACGACCACTACTACTACTACTACTACTACTACTACTACTACTTCGACGGCGACGATGACGACGACGACGACCACGACCACGACCACAAAAACGACCAAGAAGTCGACTACTGGTACTACGTATGTGCCATCTGTTCAGGGTTGGGGATGCGTTTGGGATTGTTTGATCCTCACGTTGGTGCCTCTTCCGGTCTTTCGCTTCGCTGCTATTTTTTTTTCCGTGATGCCCTGCTCTGAAATTGCAAACTTCTGATGAGGGTTGCTTTGACCTCTTAAGACGTGCTCGGCGCCAGATGCCGTGACTGGTTCGTTCAATTCCGACCCTCCGCAAGCACATCACAGGCAAGTCCTGCGCTGCCCTATCAATGCAGCAAGGCTAGCGTGTGTGTTTCTCGTCATCCATGTTCTGTGATTGGTCTGTCCAACCCCAGTTTGTTGTTTAAGGCATAACCCACTGAGCGGGACAAGCTCACTACTCGACCATGCATACCGCGCCAAATGTTGTGAACGCATTGACCACTACTGTCGTGACCAGGATGGTGGTGACCGCCATGGTGATAGGAATGGTGGCAATTGTCTAATGATGATGATGATGATGTTGATGATGATGATGGTGATGGTGTTTATGGCACCGATTCTTCGTTCCCGTCCGTCTCCAAGACTCACCGTTTCAGCAACTTTGCTTGCCGTCACACTTTACAAGAGACGACATGAGTCCTGACAGGGCAAAGATGATGCCCGTGGTCTTCAAGAAAGGTGAGCATAGCCTGTCCTTCGCGGAGACCTGCGACGGAAAAATGCGTACTTGAGGTTCATGAAGATGTGGGAGAAAGGGCATGGGTTTGGAAGGTGATCGACAGATAGATACAGAAAATCGATACATCGATAGATAGGACCCCGTTGAATTGTTAGGTAGGAGGGCAGGCGACGGAAGACAGTTCGGTTAAGTTTTTGGGGTTGCGTGGACCCCTAAGCCCTGAACTCCAATCGTAAGGTGCCAGGTGGGAACCGATATCAGATTCGGCTCAAAAGGCTGCAGATGAAGAGATGGGCTGTGAGGGTATGTTTAGCTTGGGGTGCCCCTGGATGGTGTTTTCCTGTTCAGGCGTCAGTCCTACAGTCATGCTCCGACTCCTACTGTTTGCAGGCGGTCATCTCTAGGCCGTTTTAGGCTGTAGAGTGAGACATAGGGAAGATGTCCTGCATGCATGGTGTGCTTAATCCTTCAACGGCGTATTTTGATGCTGGCTTCAACCTTCTGCCGACAAGGGCATTCGGAAACAAGTACTGTTGGCAGGATGGCTTCGATTTTTATCGTTGTTGTAGCAGCCATCCGGACCCAGCGTGCTGGAGCGAGGGTGGCATGTCTTTTGAGAACTGCTGTCTGACTGGTGGAATCGGGTGGCAACTGACAGGTGCGAACGCTGTTGCATCTCCAAATTTGGGTAGCGAAAGAGAGCTGGAGGAATCTGTGGCACAGTTTCCTTGCGTCGGCACTGCCAGCAAGGCCAGAATGCTGCTCGCATTGTCCGAGGGCTTCAATTGGTGCACTCCTCGCAAAGCAGCTGAGTGGCAACCGGACTGGTGTCAATCTGCTGGTGGTCGCTTACACAACGTTACCTTCAATTGGGCCCACTTACGTGGCCAATGCCCGCAAAGCGTCCAAGACCACATCGTCTCAATTGGCAGAGGGGCTGGCGAGAATTGTTCAGTAAGGCCCTTGCAAGCCACACTCCAGCTTTGCATTTCACCCGAGTGCCAGGTCGGCGCTCTGCTAGTGCGGTTGGGAGCATGATGTTTGTTGGGTGTGTTTTTTTTTGATTTGTTGATGGCGACTGTTCCCGTGGTGTTCCCCTGCAGGTATGGGAAGTGATTGCGGGGCTGTCGGTCTTGCACTTCTACAACGTACGACAACTCAATTGCACAGCTCTGCTATTGCAAACTACCACGCCAACGGATGATCCTCCAAAGACAGGCCGTGTAGGGACCAGGGATCCGCCAGCGGATCTGGAGGCTTGGCGGAGAATGTTCTGGATTTGTGGAAGCTGTCCCTTGCAGCGATACGGTTCATCAGGGGACGGCGGATACCTTCTGTGTGACCTGCAGAATACAACAATGGCAGCGGCATATTCATATGGAATTGATGGCCGAGACGAGTGGGGCCAAGAGGTTGCGGCATGCACTGGGGCCACATTGTTTCAATTTGACTGCTTCAATACGACGGGGGCTGAGTGCCGGGGCCAGAAGATGTGTCCACCTACAAACTTTCGAGCAGAGTGCTTGTCCGCACCTGGCTGCTTCTTCGACAAGCCTTCCGGATCATTGCAGCAACACTTTTGGAGGAATCATGTTGCTCGCCGGCAAGGATCAGCTTATGCCCTGTTACAGTGCTATTGAGGGTCAAGAGTGCTGTTGCTAGAGTTTTCGGCTTGGTTTTGTGGCTGCGTGTGTTGACAGCTCAGCCGAGTCCAACAGGATGAGCCACTCTCTACATGTTTCCTGCATACCACCTGCCTGCAGTTGGGAGTAAAGCAGCGGAGAACATGAACCCTGCATGTTGAAGTTTCGAGCGCTTGGTCAAAGGTCGGAGGATTCCACCCTTATGCTGTTGCAGACCGCAGTCTGCTGCTGAAGGAGGGGATAGCTTTTCACTCCGGGCTGATTGATAAGAGTTTGAATTTGTAACTTGGAACCTCACTGAAGCTGATAGAATTAAAAGGCAGTGAAGGCCTGCACGAAACCGCTCAAACGTTCGAGAAAGCTCGCAGACTGCGAGCTGCATTGTACACCTGCGTTCAGATCACGCTATGAAGCCATTGATGGTATGATATTGCCGGCTCCCCCAGAATGGCGCTTCAATGACGGCGGCCGTTCTGGAATATCGTAGGTCCTAGGTGGCAGAGTTGCATCAGTGGGATCATGAGAGGTGGATATCGAAGGCTTCGAGTGGGATGTCTTCGCAACAGCCGAGCCGCAGTTGCTGCTAAAATTCTCCCAGATTGTCTCTCGTCTGATTGTAACAGGAGTGGTAATAGTAACAGTTCCAGTAATTAGTAGTCTTACGGACTTGTGGTACAGTAGTAACGTTAAGGGTAAAAAGACGCGACAGCACATGTATTTTGAAATGGTTTTCGCTTGCGGTCTATGAGTCTTTCGAGCTACAGTGAGGTCGTCGAGTTTCATTTCCCGTTTCTACGGATCCCAATCCCCGAGAGCTTCCACTTGGTGCACCAGAAAGCCTTGAAGCGACTTGGCGAAGGAAAGTACGGCTTTTCAGCTTCTCTAAGGCGGTTTTGGATACTTTGGCCAAGAGGTATATACCAGCTTCACTTTGGGGGCTTACCCTAAACCCCTAAACCCTAAACCCCTAAATTCATGATCTGAATATGAGTGAGTAGCATCTGATTGACTGCTCAGCTGTCGGAGCCTGGATGGGAGGTAGTTTCAGTCGAGTGGCCTGGGTGATGTATTAGTGTGGGTAACTCTAGTGGTGAGTGTTAGGTTCTTGGAAAGGCCTCCCTCCCACAAGCCTCAACCAGCATGGTATTCCGGACAACCCATTGGGCAGATGGAAAAGAGGCGATAAAAAAAAAAAAAACCCTAAATTCCTAAACCCTAAACCCTTTATTTCCTAAACCCTAAACCCCTGAATCCCTAACCCCCTAAACCCCTAAACCCGGGAACTCAGGAATCTCCTCTCCCTCTTCGTGGTCGTGCACGTTCATCCCAACCCTGGTTGCCGGGATCCTGAGCTCGGAAGTTGCCTCGAGGCCAGAATTTTAGGGTTTAGGGTTTAGGATTTTAGGCTTAGGGTTTAGTTTCTAGGGTTTAGGGTTTAGAATTTTTAGGCTTAGGGTTTAGTTCAGGATTTTTAGGCTTAGGGTTTAGGGTTTAGGATCGTTTAGGGTTAGGGTTTAATTAGGGTTTAGGATGGTTTAGGGTTACGGTTTAAAGTTTCGGATGGTTTAGGGTTCGGGGGTTAGGGGTTAGGGCTAGGACAGTGGAGGATTTGGTCATGGTGACGGCTGAGCTCATGTTATTTGTAGGAGAGCATCCTCTGACGCTGGTACAGTTGACGCCTGTCCTCAACATCCAGGTTGTCACACGTGCTTATTCAGGCTTCTGGTCTTGTTGGCGATGAAGCTGATTCAGCTGGTCTTGGAGCTTCTTTTGTTAGCTGTTGGCAGCCTGAACCCAGGAGGGATATCAGAATCCGGATTCATTCATGAGAAGTAGCTGCAGCCTTAAGTCCTCTCACTGGATCTCACTGGTTACAGGTGACCTTCGCAGAGCCGAGACTGGTGAACCGACATAGCTGTCGGCCTCCTCTCGCTAGCCATCTGGATCAGAGGACCTGCTTGAAGCTTTATGGGTGGCATTGTACAGTGTATCTACCGTAGCTAGGCTTTCTTGATCCTTGCATGTTAGTGCTCTCAAGGCTTTGGATTCACGGATGTGCGGGCTCATGCATGCATGCTGTGCGCCGACGCCATAGGAGCGTGGAAGAAGAGAACCTCGACCTTCGATCCATCTTTCGAGAACCCTGAGGCCGTCGAGCATCCGGTGAAAAGAAACCGTGACGCAGGCAGACTTAGCTGCGATCTTGCCAGCTTGGGGAATCTGATCTTTGTGTTCTGCTACGGATGTGGATTGAATGAGCCTTGTCACGTTGAGCATTGTGGCTTCAAAGCAGCAGTCAGCAGCGCATGACACCATTGCATGTGTTTCACGCAAACCAGATGATAGAGATTGTGAGATGTTGTCAGGCTGGCATAGTTAGACCTTCTTGCATGAAGCGGGACGTGCCCGGTGGCCTGCTCCGAGCGAAGGACGGACGCAAGTTCCCCGCAAATCTTTCAAAGACCGTGAAGGCTCTCGGCTTCTTATGAGGTACTAAGTCTGTACTGAACTTGTCGTGTATGCACCGACCTGTCACCTTGGAAGGATTCTTTCGGCATGGAGCTGGAGCGTTGCAGGAGGAAAGATCTGTGCCGCTGTCATGTTTGCAGCTGCTTGTCTTTCTGAAGTTTCACTTCCAACTTCAGCTTATGCCCATCTTGCTTCAGAACCCCAAATGTGAGACTTGCGGGTGCGCATCCGCTCCTTCGAAGAACCGTCGCAGTATTTCCGACTCGGAGGCCAGGCAGCGTGCGATCCTTTGCCCGGTTATTCCGGACCTTGTCCACTGTAGACTTCGTCGTGTAGTAGCGACACGAATAAGTTATCAAAAGCGCAAGTGCTGGCCAGCTTTGCCAGGTGGACTCCATGTCGTGCCAGGGTCAGCCGCCAGTTTGGCTCCCGGTCTCAACATCCCTAAACCCATAGCAGCCATAGATAGGCATAGCAAGGATCCCGTCCTCTTCTTGTGGCCTGCGCCCGGTTGGCCGCCAATCGCTAAGGTGAAAGAGGGAAGCAAGCTGGCCGAGGCCCGGTAGTGGGTCGGCCCACTGTTCTGCACCCAAAGCACCATACGGCACCTAAGTGTCTTGAGAGAATGTATGGCACTGTTATGGCACTGGTGGCACTGGTGCAGGGAGGACGACTCCCTGTGGTGTTGCTCCTGTCCATATGGATCGCTGCCCGCGCTCTGCCAAGAATCATGGACTTTGAGCCTGTCAGTTAACCAGCACCAGTGCTCATGCGGGCGGTTGTGTGTGCGCATGTGCGTGCCTGCTTGCCTGCCTGCGGTTTCGCGGCCTTGGACGTTGTCTGCTGGTGCTCTACTCATGAATTTGCAGATCCCGCAGATGCGTCAGAGCTAATTCATAATGTGTCTTGTTCTTTTCCTTTGGGCCCTGGATTCTGCCTTTACGTGCTGTCCCAAGCTTGTGGATCCAGTAAACTAGCTGCTGCCTTGACAAGGTGCAGCATCCATCTTCTTTGGCCGCCAGACTTCGAGCGACGTGGCTTGCTCGGTGGAAAGCCTCCCTGTGTGTGTGTGTGTATAGACACATGCGCACACACAGACATAGATGTAGATGAGATAGTGTTTGAATTCTTACACTTCAGAACGAGGTTGGTACTACGCTTAACCCCTTAGAAAGGTATTCCTCCGACCAGCGCTTTTGACTTTGAGTCCGATCTTTGTCAGGTGGCAGACTCCTTCGGATCGGAGAACGCCTTCTACTACTCCTTCTACAGGTGCCTGGGCTTCTAGGGACTCCATTCGGGTTTGCTGGGCGTTTAGGGCGTCACTTGGGCTTTATAGGGCTTTGTGGAAGATTTGGAGTTCTTGCTGCCGATGTCAGCACAGAGGACCCTTTTCGGCCATGGCCCCTGTTCAGGTTTCCCTTTCTCGGTGAATCCTCCCGTATAGGCACAGGTCTCAGGGAGTGAAGTGTTTTTTTGCAGGTCTAGGGCATAGGGATCGACATGTGCCCAGTATTGTTACTCTGAAGATGTGCCCAGTATTGTTACTCTGAAAAGGGCCATATTACCTGTAGCAACGCAGACCAGAAGGATGCTGATGGAGAGAAATTCCTTACAGTCAGTCCCTCTGCACTTGGCTCCTCACACCCTGACTGTTCGTTATCCCACTCACCCACTCTCGTGGAAGTCGCCTGTGCAGGCAGTTCCTTGACTCGTCGGACGGTTTCCTGGTTGATACGTACAGCGAGGCCGGTCGCGGGTGTGAGTGTTTCGGAGCGACACCGTCTGGGCTCATCACCTTCCACGGCAGGCCCCAAGCTCTATCAATGCGCTGTTCCTTGGCTTAGATGCTGGAACTCATGGCATGTCGATGTAGATGTAGTAATGTAGTCGTCGTCGTAGCCGTCGGGTGTAGGTCGGAGGTCGCAGTCGGAGTGGTCGTAGTCACAGTGGAAGTATGTCCAGGATGCCCACCAGTTGGGTGCAGAAGTTGGGCTCGTCCTGCTTCCGATCCCAGGCGAAGGTTCAACATCTACCAGGAGCTGTGCTCCTGCCTTAGACCAGACCAGCCTTGTGTTTCGACGTCTCAACACATCGCAGGATATCGTGTGTCTCCGGAGCCATGGCTTTCCGCTCGAAGTGATTTTCAACAGTCGTTGAGTCGTGGAACATGTGATGTGTTTTACAACACACACACACATACACATACAAATGTGCATCCGCGCATAGTGGGCCTGGCCCTCACACCTAAAGAGTTCGAGAGCCGCAGTCCAGCAACTGGGGCACTTGCTCAACAGCATTCGCGTGGAAGAGCTTCGTTCTCGAAGAAAGTTTGAGATACTGGGACATCCTTCAACATAAATTTAAATTTCACAGGGATGACATGTAGCTTCCTGAGTTCTGTGCGAGGTCACCATCGTGAATGTGTTTCGAGGTCGTTCATGACAGACTGCACGCGTGACCTCGTGGTGCAATGTGGCGCACATGGTATTTCGAACAACGCATCTGAGCGCATGACTATTCTTGCTGTTATTCTTGCCCACATCATCCGTCAGGCCTTTCCGATACAGACGAAAAACTTCCAGATTGGATGTCTCACGCGTCTGTTCCCGTTCCACGAGGCGAAGCTCTCAAGGGCCTTCAAGAGTGCTGCTAGCAGCGACTGGTCAACACGTTCTGCGGTTCCCAGCCCGTACTGTAGCTCCTGTTATTAATGGCCAGGGAGGATGAGGAGTCATGCTGAATCGCATCGTGCCACCGGGGACGTAGTATGGCATTCCTCTCCGAGGTTTGGCGCTGCTCTACCAAGGCCTTGCCACCATGGTTCCCTCTGCTTGCTTCGCTCGCTCGCTCGCCCGGACAGTCTGTCGCTCTCTTTTGCTCTCTCTCTCTCTCTCTCTCTCTCTCTCTCTGTCTCTGTCTCTCTCTCTCTCCCTCGCCCTCCCTCCCCCCTCTCTAACTCTATCCGTCTTTCTTTTCTCTCCCTTCTATGACATCGTTGCCGTTGATCCACAAGTCGTATGTTCCTGGATTCAACGCCGAGAACCTGAAGCTAGCATGAGTCAATGATGCATACTCTCGCGTTGTTGCCGCAAGCACGTCAGTTTGTTCGGCAGCATGTAGTTAGCTGACTGTGTCTGCATATACGCACACGCTGTCAAATGATGCAATGCACTGAAAGGTATGCAGTCTTTGACTGCCAGCCTTCCAGCGGCTGCAACCTTCTACTGCGGCGGCGTGTTCGCCTTGCCTCTGTCTTAGTCATTGGGATGCTGATAGTGTAGTTCTATGTAGTTCTGTTAGGACAGGACAGGATGTAGCAACGGCAGGTGCGCTGCAACAGCATGACAATATGCAGTTTCAATGTTGCATTATCTGTCAGCCCCACTGGGCATCCTTCACGTTCAGTTCTTCTTGACAGCACGTGCGGGCACAGGCAGACTTGCAGTATGCAAGCGATGCTCAAAGCGCTAGGGATTTCACAGTGAACTGCCACACAGAGCCGAGGTATGGTGTTGGCATATTTACCCTCCTGTGGATGGCTGGAAGTATCGATGCCGCGCTGCTGGCGGCTGCCTTGTACATCAGCTGCTTGAAGGCTTGGTTTTGGCCCCTGCCCCTGACCCCGGATCCTTCAGCCCCGCTCTGCACTTGGACAGGAAGTTTTTGCATGATGCTGTACCCTCGTTTTGTTCCGGGTCTGGGATGTTGGCTCCAGGCGGCCGGGGTTGAGATGGTCCGAGGTAGTCATCCGAGCGTGTCCGAACCTAGCCAGAACTTTCAATACGAGGGTGGACTAGCCCTATAAGAAGTGCCGGGCAGGCAAGCGATTCAATCTTGTACCTTGTAGCACCACGAACAAGACAGCCGCGAGCATTCCCCAAACCACAAACAGGATCTACAATGCTGGGCCCAGCACCTATGAACATCGTGGGTATTTTACATTGGTACGGGCAAAGGGTCACCTGCTTTGCTTTGGTTCAAAGCGTCCAAGCCTCAAGCAACTTTGAGATCAAAAGGTGCAAGGGATGGGTTGGGATGATCTGGTAGTTCCCTGCTGATGCCTGCTGCGAGGAGTGCAGTCACGTGTCATGGATGCCGCCTCTACGTGAGAACTGCGCCGTGCCTTTCTGGCTTCTAAGCTGCGCCGCTCTGCAGGAGCCGAAGAGCACGAAATCACATGGCAAGAACTCCAAAGAGCACACTGTCTCCCCGATGTTCCCGAAAGCCCTTTTGTGTTGCCCTAGAGCTTGCCATAATGCGACAATTAATTGTCATGTCTATGACATACGGTCGTTCAGATCGGAAAACCCAGCCTTTTCTTCTCCATGTACATGCAGAACATGACTAGCTCGCGCTGCTCCCTTGCTGTTGCGACCTTGACCTAGCTGTCGTTTCCCAGATCTCAAGTTCAAGCATGATTCTCCAAAGAGCTTGGTTCCTACTCGTTCTAGCACCAGAAGTGAAGCATCCTGACACTGTCTTCTCAGCGGCTCAATTGCAGCAAGTTCTAATTTGGGATGTGCAGGACCTGCACCGCCGCCACGCGCAGAGAAGCGTGGCCTGACTTCCAATTTCACAAACGAGTCGAGGCGCGATTAGTAATACCCCTGAAGCTGCAAGTGCTCGGAACAACCCTTGACTTTGGGATGTGCCCGTTGTGCAAAAGCCCTGCAGCTCAGGTCACATTTTGCGGGAAGCTTCCTCTCCTGTTCAGCTTCACCGGATTTCTGTTACTTTGGCAGTTCTCCTGCTTCGCACTCCTACTGCAGGCCAGATCTGCCTGCCCAACACCGTTTCCTGGTTTTCCCAGCTGCTTCCAGGCTGGTGCACTTCACGCGATGATGCTGCTCCAGCTGATTTCGGCCGATTTCCTGGCTGTAGTGTCGCAGCTGTACGTGTGGCTTGGCATTCCTAAACCTGAAACCTTGAGCCCCTTAATCTGCTGATGGGTCCACCACTTTGTCGTGAACTTTTTTTCGGCAGCTTGTGGAAGGTGGTCCGTCTTGCTCAGCTCCTTCCTCCGCTTGGGAGACACCTGGGCAGTCAGGCGTGCGACTTGAGTAGACTGTCGCACAGTCCGTAGCATGGAAATCATAATTTCATAGCTGACTGCTTCACGCTTGCAGCAGGTTGATGTCGGAATCGGAGATGTCCTAGCCTTGTACTCCGTATACCAACACATGCAGACATGTCTGAGTCCGCAGGAAGCTGTCTCATTATCACGCTAAATGAAGCAAAAGACTATGGCAAGCACAAAATATAGCAGGCTTGTTTACGTAGAACGAAAATCTAGCCAGAGCCAGATTTATTTTCCAGTCCGAAGGACAGACTTGCGCGCTTCGGCTTGTCTGTGCAGGTCGCCCCTGTTCTGCGTCTCAGTGGCCTCAGCAGTGGCGCTTCGCTTGTACGCCGAGCAGCCGGGATGGCGGGGACTGCTCTTGGGCTTTGTGTGGCTCGGCTGGGCGCCAATCGGCACTTTGTGAGCTGCCTTCCGCCGGCTTCGAGGTCATGGTTTGCAGTCGCAGCTTTGCTCCGGTTGTCGCTGCCTTCATCAGAGGAGCTACAGAGTGAGGGCTCTGCACCCGGTGACATCCCAACACTATCGGAAAGTCCACCATCAAAAAAACTGACCCTGGCCCGAAAGGACGACGCACACATCCAGAGTTTCCTTCTCTTCAGAGTCCAGGCTCGGACCGCCAGTTGCAGGTAATTGGTCCATAAACGTGGTTCCCGATGATATACGTACCATTTATGTACATGCACATACACGTACATTCGTATGTATGTACGCATGTATGTAGGTATGTAGGTATGTATGTAGGTATGTATGTATGTAGGTAGGTATGTTTGTTTGTTTGTTTGTAGTTATACATGTATATACACATTCGTTAAATGTCATTAACATACAAACATCCATGCAGGCATACACACATACATATGTATACATGCACACACACACACAAACACTCGCGTGCATTTGCACGTACTACAAGAGCATTTAAGTGCACACATACACATGCATGTACATGAGTACATAACTAATTAGATAAACAGGTGAACACATGCATATATATATATATATACAAATGTACGTAGGTAGGTAGGTAGATAGGTAGGTAGGTAGGTAGGTAGGGACATTCACACGTACTATATACAGAGAGTGTGCATATATATATATATATATGTACATGTGTACGTATCATACAGTTACACACGCACGTATACCCAGAAACTCTTGCAGGCATCCTTGCATGCATGCATTTGTACATGCGTACACAAACACATACCTACAAATGTATATACGCACACACGCACACGCACATCCACAGACTTTGACACAGACACGCTTACATACATGCACAATCACACAGTAGACATTCATGTACGTCTGCATATGCATATGTATATGTGCATATGTATGTATACAAATATATTACACACACATCTATTTATACACACATGTATAAGCACGCATGCATGCATATGTACAGGTGCACAACCACAAAGGGTTTGGACTAACTCAGTAGATGAACCCCAATGTATTTGGTAGAACCTCTCCAAATATCTACCCGTCCCTCGTATTGAGGGACATTGGGCCACCTCTTGGTGCAGACAAACAGCTGCGTTACACTCGAGATTACGTGAGTTTGTACGTAGTTCAAATATTGAGGACATAAACACGAAGATGACAAGCGTTTTGACGATGTCCATATTGGAGCCTACTTTATGGATGTTAGCGCATCAATGTCAGAAATTTTGGGTCTTGAAGATCTAAACTTCTGTGGTCTCGGAAAGCGCATCAACAAGTCGAAAGCAGGGTTAAAGTAGGGCTTACAGGCGTGTATCAGGGTAGTAGCGGCTTCGAAAGAAAGCTTGTGTAGGTGATTCACCCAGTTATATGTTTGGCTTTGTCTGTAACTTTGGGGACGCAGTGCGGAATGTGTTCAGGGTTAGAGTAACAGCGCTTGGTGGGCCGGTGGGAAATATCAAGAATGTAGCGGTTGAGAGGGGATCAGAACTGGATTCAGCATTACGGAATCGGCTGTACTCATTCTGGGGGACCGGTAGTTTATAAATTGAGGAATTCCGCAGTTTGCAGGTGCCTAAGCGATCCGTGTTCATGGTGAGTGCGACTTTCCGGCGGTTTTCAGTTGGGACTACCTTCGTGATTGCACAGCTGCGATTCAGGTCTTGCATACATACATATATATATATAGATAGATAGACACAGAGAGAGCGAGAGAGAGAGAGAGAGAGAAGTGCTCGAATACCACTGCAGCAGAGTACGCGGGGGATCGAAGCCTCCACACGCAAGGCCAACTAGCAGTTCCCAAGCTCGGTCATTAGTGGGGCATGAGGGGTTGGGTCTTCCTTGCCAAAAGTTGGAGATTTCGGTCAGCCTGTGAATGCAACTTTCGGATCGGAGGCAGGACATGTCGGGGAAAATATATTAGTGGTTTGTGTGCCTTTGCTTGACATCAGAGACCCCCCCACATGTGCGCTGTGCCGTGCCTCCAGTTGTATCACCAATCAGGTGTCCCAAAGATGCAAGCCACACTGTCGTGCTAAATACGCTAGTGGTACATGTCGGAGAAGTGTAGTGTGATGAACTATTCTGTTCGGGGGAAAACACTGATGTATACTGCAAGACTTTCTCACGCCTCCTCAAAGCCCCGTAACATATGGGGGGCCTAACGGCCGGGGGGCTTCAAACGCTCCCCAAGCCCTGGCGAAGAAGAGACTGAGAGTTATCTATTAGCGTATTTATTATTATTATTGTTATTATTATTATTATTATATATGTGTATATATCTACACACATACATACACACATATTCAGAAGCATATGCATACAGACCTGTATATGAAGGCATTGACTCATGGTAATAGAGGATTTGGGTCTTGTGTCATGCCTGCACAAGGGGCTGCTGCACGACTTCTTGCCCCGCCTCGTCGCCGTGCCGGGGAAGCTGGACTATCATGCAGCGCACCAAGTGCATGACCGTGTGCCGCCGAAACGTCTTTATCCCTTGCTTTGTTGTCAGTCTTTGGTGGTGCTGGAATATGGAACGTGTTGTGTCTGTGTGGCGAATGCTCCAAAACCCAAACCTCGCTGTGCAGTCCATGCCGGGGGGAGGGGGGGGGCGGGAGAAGTATGGTGCAAGTTCTCCAAGTCTGAAGGCGGCCCTCTACGCCGGCCAGCGAAGCTTCAGCTCGCCCTCGCTTCGGGACCCCAGCTCCTTGCGGTTTAGGCTAGGGGTTCAGGGGGTCGGGGGCTTGCTGAAGGATCGATGTCAAATCCCAAGCCGAAGCAGCCGGCGGGACTTGTTCACAGTTCTTTGACGACAATTGTGCCCGGGCTACACTCTCTTGTCTTCAGTTATAGACACAAATCACAGACACAGTTTCATTTGGGCAGACTCGCCGTCCTGGTCGTACAGCAGCAGGAAATTTGTTCGAGTACCGGCATGGATGGGCTTGCAGGGAGGTAAACACAGCGCGAGCGCCGCGCACGGCTTATCTCTCGGCGGACAGTTGCGTGTGAAGGAGCTTCCAGCGCCCTTGTTTGCAGCAGGCCGGGGGAGAAGAGGGCTCTGTTTCTGGGGGCATGGAATCTTTCGGTGGGCGTAAGGCGGGCTTTCTGCTTCAGGTCATCAAAAGCCTGTGGCACTGCTCTTGGGGAAGGGCTTGTCGGGACGTTGCAGGTTCTGCTGAATCTAATTGTCTTTGCAGGGTCTCTCATCCGGGCAATGCGCAAGAGTCGGCCACCAGCCTCGTTGGCCCCCTGGGCCAATAGAGTTGATCCCCTGCATCTTCGACTCCTCGACTCTACCCGAGGGTCCGTAGGTACGCCGTAGGGCCTACAGAAGTTTGTGTCCGCAGCAACTTCTTGGATGTCTGGCCGACAGTGCTTCAGCTCAAGAAGCTCGTGCAGAGTTCACTGAGAGCTCAGGCCTTCTGGGTGCACTGGCTAGCATTCGCCGTGACTTTGCCGCTGCTTTGCGGCGCCTCGGAGCATTGGTGATGTAATGATTCTAGTAGTTAGTACGGTCCGAACGCCCGCACCTCCGATCAAACAACAATTCGGAGGTTCAAATGTCAAGCCGTCAACAAACCAGGCTGTTCCTTGGAATGGCCACTGCTCCGCTTTTCTTCCTCATGTTGAGATATCGAGACCTGGCAGCAATCTTTGCTATAGCCGCCACGGCAGCATGTTTTCGAGAGCATGGGCGTTGCATCGGAGACGAAGGCATGCTCTTCTACCCGCACTTGGTTTTGCTGCCTGGAAGAGATCTGGGTTTTCGATCTAATTACTCCTTTTAGCGGCCCCACTCCCGGCACTCCGGGAAGCTGGTCCCGGGTCCTGGCACGTTCCACTGTAGCTTCCAGCCCCAACATCTGGAGATAATTTGGGTATGTAGGCCTGCATCAACCATGCAAGCTGCCAAATTTCTGTCCTTACTCTGAAGGCTAGGCTCTACGCTGGCTGAAATTCCCGTTGGCCGCTTTCGGCGCCCTTTGGCTTCCTGGCAGAAGCGCTCAGAGAAAGCTCCGACACCTTTCGGAAGCCTACTGCGATGTAAGGACTTCTGCTCGGGTCACGTTAGGGCGGTTGGGAGTCTCCGGTACGAAGGAAGCCCAATGCCCGGTCCCTGTGCAACAACCTCTGAGCTGAGAATCACCACGTACTCCATGAAGTCTAGCTTTTCCAGTAATCAATAAGCAAAATTCTTCTCGCCTACTTGGTCTAGTTGGCTATGTTCAGTGCCATGGCTTTTCAAGGCTGTTGCATCACCGGGACAAACGTTTCGACATGCAGAGGATAGTCTCAATATGCCAGGAGCATATGGGGTTGTATCGCAACCCCGCGCCTCAGTGTTTAGTCTTGGCATGTCCATTCTAGGATTTTCAATCATTATCTGTGCAAAACGATGACAAGAAAACTACGATAACACCATAACCATGTCAAATCCCGGCCAGGAGCCCAAACTCGAAACGAGGCATTTCCAGTACTAAAGTTGCACTCCAACCCAGCACAATCTTATAGCTATGATCGCCTTACACTGGTCACTAGTCTATGCTCATGACCAAGGGCCTCAACGCCTTACGATGATGAGAACTCAAAGCAGTTTAAAAAATGCACCAAGTGCTAGAGATCCGAAGTAGGCCGTACTACGCCCGATGGGTATGTGCCCTACGAGTCGAGAAGGTCGTGGCTCTCCTGGCCCTGGCAGAAGCGAACCTTCACCTTGCTGGAGTCTCCTGGAGCCAAGGTAGCAGTGGAGTCGGGGAGAGACTCCAGGATTCCGGGTTCTTTCAATCGCCGCATACGAGGGCTCAGTACGGGATGGCTCAGCGGGTCACGAGATGCTGTCAGGCCACCAGACGCAGAGCAGAGATGAGGAGAAGGCACTTGGCTGGGGTTTGGGGGGATGCACGACAGGTGGGGTGGGTGGGTGGGGGGGGGGGGAAACCGAGTGAAGCCTTGAACTTCAACTTCGCGGACACCCCGAAACGATCCGCATCTTTGTCAGGTGGAGCGAGAACATGTCATGTCTTGGGTCCGGAAGCTTGGCAGAACGTTACGCTTTGCCCCCGAGATGCTATCTTCCAGGCTCCTGCTGCGTGCCACCGAGGAACCATACATCTCCGGAAGATATCCTCATTGGAGGCATGGGCACCTCGGCACTGGCTGCTCGGCAGGGAGTGAACCCAAAGCACCATGTTGGGCTTCGCGAGGCTGCAGTCTTCTAATTATCTCCCTGTGTTCAATCTTTCTTCGTTCCTTTCTCCCCTCGCCTCCCCTCCCATCCCCTCCTCTCCCTTCCCCTCCCCTCCCCTCCCTCCTTCCTGCCTTCCTTCCCTTCCTTCTTCGTTTTGCATTGTTTTGTATGAAGCAGGCAGGTCCTCTCGAGTTCCGGACTTCTGTGGTTGAGGTGGCCTCGGTGCTTCAACCCCTAGCAGCCATCGCATCCACCAAGGTTCGCCTACATGCGTGCCGGGGCCACTCAACTCAACCTGCATCTGCCGTCATCTGCTTCCGAATGCTTCACAATCAGACAATGGGCTGCGAATCTAACCTTTCGATCTATGCTCGCAGTTTGTTAGACGAAGCTCCCTTGCTGCTCGTGATCCCAGGAATTGTGTGCCACCCACACTACGAGTCAGCGCGACTCCGGGAAAGCTGCTTCTGGGCCGATAAACTTGTCGGTCACAGGAGCGGGGTGACGATAGATCGGGAGGGTCGTCCATAACAACTGCTTATTCCCCAGAGTACTGGAGCTGTGTAGTCGTCATCGTGCAGCTGGTAAGCACACAAACTTCGAGGAGCCTTGCAGAGTCCGGGCCTTGGCAAAGTTCCTGCAAATTTTGGTGGCTGTGCGAGCACACGGATTCCAGACCATTGGCGGCATCGTTTACTCGAGTTTTGTCCACAGAAGCTCTCATGCGCACATGGCCCTAAGAGTCCATGTGCACCGGCGCGAGGTATCACGACATCATCAGCACAAAGTTGCTGAAAGGCATGGTGCAGCGCAACAGAGGGTTCAGCGTCGTGTGAAGTCAGCAGTCAACGATGTGCACACTCTATCATCCCGACTCCAATCCCGTGTTTGATTCTTGTTGAAATCCTAGTTTGGTGCCTTTTTGCTTGGTATTGCTTGTCTCGCCATCTTCTGTCTCCCTTTATGTACAGTCCTGCCTACCCGAGAACATGTCTAGCACAAGCCCCCCCCCTCCCCCCTCCCCAAAGCGCCGGGGATCCCTCAAAGAAACCTTTTGCACACCAAGAGACCCCTCAGTTGCAGGTGCGAGTCGCCAGGCCTACGTCCTGGTTTCTCTGAAGGCCCTGGGTTTAGGTTTGGGGTTTTGGAGATCGGAAACCCTATGACACCCGAGCATATGGTGTGCATTCGGGCGCATTTTGCCCGTGCCGGCAGGATTGCTTCAGTGTTAACGAAGCCGGCCAGTCGACATCGGAGTTGGTCGAGATGGATGAGCCAGATCGCCAGAGGGAAACCCTAGGTGGTAGGATGTCGGATTCAAGGTGTCGGGTTTCAGCAGCTAGCAGCTCTAATGGCTCTTATGCTCACATCATCGCATTGGCTTGGCTTACCCATCATGTTGAAAGCAGATGGAGACAACAGTGTGCTGAGTGTGTGTGCTGTAAACCCGTAAGCCGAATCCCCAAACCCAAAATCCAAAACCCGAAGCTTCGAACCGCCCAATGACAAGCCTGTCGATTTTCGGGCTCTGGAGCATCAGCCAAGCAGCTCGAGCACAAGGACAATCTCAGCGTCGTCGCTTTACCTGTGCTGGCTATGTTATGCTACAGTATATTATAGTATATTTATTAATATTATAGCACAGTACAGTATGTTACAGTATATTACCATCGGATGTCCCCATTGCATCTGGACATCTCGAGGTCACTCTCGATTAGATGACACAGTGGTATCCCGGCACCCCAAATCCCTAAAGCATTAAAACCCGAAGCCATCAAGGCCCTGGAGGTTTGCCCAGCCCAAGACTTGCGCCCGTGGCTCGGCAGGGTTCAGGGTGTCATACTGTGTTCCCACGTGTTTGTTTAGGGGGGTGTTAGGCTTTAAGGGTTTGCGGCTCATATTCAATATTATTTTCCCACCTGCGTTAAGGGTTTTCAGGTCTAGGATTCAATTTGTCGTTCCCCTGCCACGCTGTGGAACGATGGGGGTTGTAAGCTTTAGGCTTGGGGGCAGGGGAGTTCGGGGATTCCGGAAAATTTCGGGAATTGGCGCTTGGCAAGTTCCAAGCAGGCTGACTGGGCAAATACTGGGTTGTTCTAATTTAGCGTGCTTCCAGGATCGTGAGTACGATTCGATTACAGTGATACTATCAGCTGCAGACAGGTATCAAAGGGAATCCTTCTTGAGAGCAGCGGGACGAGCTGAGTGATCTTGCGCATTGCTTGTCTCAGGACTTGCTGTACCGCCTGGGCTTCGACAAGGCCAGCATCCCCATCGAAAGGGCTTGGGACCAGGCACCGACGCTGAACACAGGCTCACGAAGTTGACGTAGAGGGAAAGCTAGACGGTTTTGGCAAGGACAGGCCGTGATGTTCGCAAGTCCAGAGCGCATATCGTCTTGCCTTGCATGTGGTCGAACTTTCTTCCCTCAACGTGAAGCGCCCTTCCCTGCGGCATCTTTGCATAGTCCCACCGTGGAAATCCCGATGGGCCTGATCTCACCCAGACACTGCGACGATCCCCTGAGGCCCTAAGCCAAACCCGGGAATCAGGTGCCCCGTGGCTTCCAGCCACGCTGGCTAGGCCGTTGGTACGCCTTGCTGGAGGCGCTTTAAGGGCGGCAGTTTCTCCATGATTCCTCATCTAATTGGGGCGCTTTGTCGGGGCCTAAACCGTCTTACGCAGTGTTGCGGTATATTACGGTCTTATGCGGGTATTAAGGGTTCAGCGATGAAAGCTTTGTTACGTTGTCGAGTTAACTGCTGCAAGCAGGTGGCACCCAGAATAGGCTCGCTGTTCAGCTGTTACGGGCCATGCACGTCGAAGAGAAGCCCCTTGCTTCCTGAACAAAAGATCCCGGAGGTCCTCGCGGATATGAAAGAGCCAGGCACGGCGGCTTTTTAGGTTTAGGGTTTCGGCTTTAGGGGATGATTCTACAGGTTTGGAACTGCAGCTGTGGCACCTGTAGAATCTGGGCGGAACACTTCCATACTCATTTCAACTGAATGGGGCTCGGTTGCTAAACAGGCAGCGTGTGAAGCTCCGATGCCTATGTGGCAGGAAAGCCACTTCATCCGACTTCGTCTCGAAGGTGAAAAGTGCTTCAGACGGGGTGCTCCGTTGTCGATGAATTTGCCAGGGAGAGTGATTGGAACTTCTGTGTTGCATGGGTTCCGCCGGGCTCAAAGCAAAACTGTTTGCAGCGGTCTTATTGGATATGGCACCTCGAAATTGTGTTCAACTTGTTGATGGAGTATTGGCCGCACGGTTCTGCTCTTCGTCATCATAATCTTTTGGTGTCATCGCTGTTGCCAGGTGTGCTTTCGGCCGGTATCTATTGGAGGACTCTCCTTTGCAAGTGGCACGAGTGCATCCAGCTGCAGTATGCAAATATCACTAGCGCATGGACATGTTCAATGCGATGCTATAGTCTACGCCCTCGACGACCACTAACAGGAGGCATCCGAAGCAGAACAAGCCCGGGCACTGCTGACGTCTCTTTCGCCGAAGGCGCCGGCAGCTTAGAGAGCATGCACGGGCCTGTGTACGAACGCAGATTGACGAGCTGCAGCCTAGCACTGCATGCCCGACTCTTACATGTATCCCCTATAAACCCTAAACCCCTAAAGCCCTAAACCCCTAAACCCTAAACCCCTTAAACCCAAACCCTTAAACCCTCGAGATCGCCACAGTGTTTCATAGGTTGCGGAAGCTGCCGGTGGCCTGCAGCTGTGCAGCCGAGATGCTCGGAGTTGCCGAGGCCAGTCATAGCCAGAGTATACAGTGAAGGCTCTTCGCATATTATATATATACATATATATATATATATTAATATATTATGTTATAGTAGATTCTATTATATTATAGTATATTATATCAATTACAGTATAGTATATTGCCAGGCCTTGGGGATTTCTCGTTGCGGATTGCAGTGCAGGAACTGCAGATAGAAGCACCTCTGCCGCAATCTCTTGGGAGGTGATGCACGACGCTCACTCCCGTGCTTTGCAGGCCTTCGGGGCGGGTCGAGCCCAGGTTCAGATCACAGGCCTCTGAAAACAGGGACCCAGGCGACTGTATCGCTGAACCTTATCTTGTTGTCGTCAGAAACCCGTCGCTAATTATATAATACTGAACTGTGCTGGTTCAGACGTACCAGGAGCGTGATGACCCGCTTGCTGGAGCATTTGGATGCTGCGAAGTGGGACCGCAGCCTCCTCAGCCTGTTGAGCCATCCCAGACCTCGTAAGGCCACATTCAGCCTTAGGGAGCTCGTTTCTAGTCAGCTCTGTAGCATCGAAAGGGCTGCTCTTTCCATTTCTTTTCGTCTGACGACCCACCCTGCTCTGTCGGCGTCTGCGCCATGCCGTCAGGGTTCGTGTTGTCGAGCTGAGTACTGATAGGCTGATGTGCATCGATGCGGGTTCCGAGGAAGTTTGTGGCCTGCCTGAGCGACAAGGCAGATGGCAAGAGCCACCATCTCCTAATTATGAGTAGCTGAATTTGCTGCTTCGTTCGTCTTGATTGTGACAGACTAATCCTCTTCATCTGAGTTTCTCTGCAGGCCGTGCGGTTGATGCGCGAAGCTTCGCCAAGTCTTGCGGAGCCGCTCCAGGGAACTAGCCTGTGAATGAACGTTTGGGCCACAGGGTCCTTCAAGGTCTAGCTTCGGGGGTATGGACCTGGCACCTTCACTTCCTGCCACGGGGGATTGGTGCGGCTAGTTTTGGGAAAATGTAGCTCGGCGGTTCAGGGGCATGGACTGTTGGGCAGGAAAGCTCTCTCGATCTTCCTGTGGTTTCGTCCTTCCTTGATTTCGAGCTGTTTCTTAGGTCTTCGGGGTCTAGGGCTCAGGGCTCGAAGTTTCAGCGTTTTCAGATCTGTGCGCTCGCAGGTTCCGTGTCGGGGCTGTCGCGGCTTTCGAGAAGTGGGTCTGCAAGCTTATCGTCTGAATTCTCGAGCTCGAAGACGGCAAAATTCCGGAAGAAGCCGCCCTAGAACTGAGACGTCTAGATTATATGGGAAAAAATTCAACATAGACCTTGCCAGGGCCACCGTATGAGCAAGACCACTTCCAGGAGCCTCCAGCCATGCCTTGGTCCCAGGAGATTTACTTCCGGAAAGCCTCGGAATACACATCGTCTCCCAAGGCTGTAGGCCCGGCTCCGTCGTCCCTGATCCCATTTGCAAGACTGAGTGCCAGCTTCGTTTTGCTGCCGATGATAGCTGCCTTGATTCGGATTGATATATTACTATTAGAAGAACCTTCTTTGAGTTCCTTTGGCAGGCTTCCTGGCATTCGCGAGGTGCTCTTGCAGAGAACCTGAGGAGGGAAGCAGAGAAGTGAACCCTACTGCCCTTGGAATAAGGCCAACGTGCTTGCAATCAGCCTCCTTCATTACCACCACTACCACGACCATGACTACGACTATTAGACGACGGCAACAGCGACGACGACGACCACGACTACTGCTACTGCTGCTGCTACTGCTGCTACTACTACTACTACTACTACTGCCACCACTACCGTGGCTGGAACTGGCACTGGGAATGGGACTGCGGCTGCTGATGTCGCTGCGGCTAGGACTACGTTTACGACGTGAGTCTACGAAGACGACTAGTACTGCGACTGCGATTGTCGGGGTCACTTCCACTTCCGTGGCCACTGCTGCTGCTACTACTACTACCGCTGCAGAGTCTGCTGCTGTGTACTACAACCTTCTCTCTTACATTCCGCTGCCATAACTGACGACTTTTGGGCCTACAGGATCAAGAGTCGGTACATGTTTGTGGGGCTTTGCAAATGAGGACCGGGTCTAGCCAGAATGCAAGTTTTGGTACACTGAGGTGCGATCAGAAGGGCCTCTTCTCGTGCAGTTCGTGTCATGCGCAATGCATTGAACGACTGCAGCTCCGGAGAAAACGGATTCTCACCGTTTGAGCTCATTTTGTTTATAGATTCGGGTGCAGGCTGCAAGCTGGGATGAACCGAGAGGTCGGTTCCCGAGTCAGTACCAGGAAAGACTGTCTGGCATCATCGGTAGGTGAGCAAAACCCGTCAGGGGGGTAACAGCACTCGTAGCATAGTAGTAATAATAGTGGTTGCAAGTTTCGTGAGAACACTGATAAGCATAACCCTCAGAAGGAATGGCCTAGAAATGATAGTAGTAGAGCTAGCGGCCATGGTTGCTCGGAACAGCTAAGAAACACAGCTCCGAAAATATTGAAAGGAAACAGAGTTTTTGACTGCCACATCTGCTTTTGGCCCAGCTCAAGCACCGTGAAAATCAGGCCTTGACGAGCTTCCGTCGCACAGCTGAGCTCGAGGGAAACTCTCCTACTGGGACCACCCTTTGCCGGGTTCTGAGCTCCGTGTTTGCTGGCCTCTTCGCTTTGCTCATCAGTGCCGGTCGGGGGAGATGGGGTGCCTGACTGCGCAGAATGTCTCGAGGCGGGGAAGCCAGCGCGTTGGCTAGTCGGGCCCTCGATCGCAGCCTCTTGTGCAATGCTTTGGCTCACAACTGCAAGGCAGTTGCAGAAGCTTGTAGCTACTTTTGTGCCAAGACAGTAAATCGAGCAGCTTGCTTCTGCGACCTTTCCGCGCTACTCGTGGAACTGGTACTATACCTTCAGACATCCGTAGGATGTGTCGAAACTCGAGCTGTGCAGGTGCCAGGTTGACAAGACTACTGGTAGCTGTGACTTGAGGTTTGCGGTCACATCAAGTTCGCAGGCATGGAAGTGCATCCAATGAGCCGCTAGCTCCAGCATGACCTTGGACAATGCTGCGTAATCTCAAGGTTCACGCGCAGAGAAAGGCTGAAGCACCATGTCAGAACGTGTCTTTTGGTATCATGCACGAAGAGGACGCTTGGCTTGTTTTTGTGCAGCCTCCCGCACATACATAAATGCTAGGACGCAGTGGCGATCGACGAAAGCATTGCAGGCCACAAGTGCTTTGCCGTGTTTGACGGGCATGGAGGCGACATGGCCGCCAAACTTGCCCAAAAACTATTGCCCCAGCAGCTCGAGTCCAACCTTCACAAGTCAAAGGACAAGGAGCAAGCTGCCATCGATGCCTTCCTGGCGTCGGACCAGGAGATGCAGAAAGACTTGGCCAACGAGGCCAGGGTGTTTTCGACAGGGACGTCCTCCGGAACGGTCGCATGCGCTGCACTTAGTGCAGCGCATGCGACCGTTTCCAAGGAACTCATTCTGCTTACTGTAATCTTGGAGACTGCAGAGCTGTGGTGTGCGAGTCAGCGAAGGTAGCAGAAAAAACAGCCGACCATTCGCCTGACAAGAACAAGGAGGAGAAGCAACGGCTCGTGAATCTCGGAGTCAACATTGATGGAGGGTATGTGGATGGCCAAGTGCAGGTGTCCGGGGCACTCGGAGACGTGACGAAGAGTGGCTCCAAAATCAGTGGATTAATTTGCATGCCTGAGGTCACCATCGTAGAGGTCAGGGATACTACTGAGTTCGTGATTCTTGCCACAGACGGCATTTGGGATGCTCTCCAAGAGCAAACAGCCTTGACTACCGCTCGCAAAGTACTCCGAGAAACGAGGTCACCGGAAGCCGCGGCACAGGCAGTGCTGCAAGCTGCAGCTAACGTGTCTAAGGCTGACAATGCAGCCCTGATCGTTGTGGCACAACGATCAAGGCTGCATTGAGGCTTTGAACATCCCTGAGCCGCCTGCCAAGCGCGAGCGGCGTTTGAAGTTCGGCTCCAAAATGGAGTGAGGCTGGCCGGCTGGCACCCTATGCACTTGCACGATAGCCATGTCTCGCAGGCCTCTGCTTGCTTGCCACATTTGAAGAGCGTTTGAAGCAAAATGGGCTGCCCCTCTGACCCTCGACGTTGGACACGCTTTGGAGCAAGGAGGCTTTCTGCCCAAACCCTTGCAGTTTAAAGTAGTACGTACAGGTGCCAGGTTGACAAGGCTACTGGTAGCTGTGAGTTGAGGTTTGCGGTCGCATCAAGTTCGCAGACATGGAAGTGTATCCAATGAGCCGCCAGCTCCAGCATGACCTTGGGCAATGCTGCACAATCTCAAGGTTCATGCACAGAGAAAGGCTGAAGCACCATGTCAAAACGTGTCTTTTGGTATCATGCACGAAGAGGACGTTTAGCTTGTTTTTGCGCAGCCTCCCGGCACATACTTAAGGCTTGTTGTGTTGTTCCAATCCAGTTCCATCCCTTGGTAGGTAGCCCGAAGTTGCCGCAATGGGCAACTTTTGCGACTGCTGTGGGGTTAGGAACAAGGAGGTGTCTGGGTTGCCGGAGTACGGCAGTGGAGGTAACAACGACTACGGATTTGCCTTTGCAAGGCATGACCGAGCCCGGATGGAGGATGCAGTGGCGATCGACGAAAGCATTGCAGGCCACAAGTGCTTTGTCGTGTTTGACGGGCATGGAGGCGACATGGCCGCCAAACTTGCCCAAAAACTATTGCCCCAGCAGCTCGAGTCCAACCTTCACAAGTCAAAGGACAAGGAGCAAGCTGCCATCGATGCCTTCCTGGCATCGGACCAGGAGATGCAGAAAGACTTGGCCAACGAGGCCAGGGCGTTTTCGACAGGGACGTCCTCCGGAACTGTCGCGTGAGCTGCACTTCTCCAAGACAAGGAACTCATTCTGCTTAATCTTGGAGACTGCAGAGCTGTGGTGTGCGAGTCAGCGAAGGTAGCAGAAAAAACAGCCGACCATTCGCCTGACAAGAACAAGGAGGAGAAGCAACGGCTCGTGAATCTCGGAGTAAACATTGATGGAGGGTATGTCGATGGCCAAGTGCAGGTGTCCAGGGCACTCGGAGACGTGACGAAGAGTGGCTCCAAAATCAGTGGATTAATTTGCATGCCTGAGGTCACCATCGTAGAGGTCAGGGACACTACTGAGTTCGTGATTCTTGCGACAGATGGCATATGGGATGCTCTCCAAGAGCAAACAGCCTTGACTACCGCTCGCAAAGTACTCCGAGAAACGAGGTCACCGGAATCGGCAGCACAGGCAGTGCTGCAAGCTGCAGCTAACGTTTCAAAGTCTGACAATGCAGCGTTGATCGTTGTAGCTTTGAACATCCCTGAGCCGCCTGCCAAGCGCGAGCGGCGTTTGAAGTTCGGCTCCAAAATGGAGTGAGGCTGGCCGGCTGGCACCCTATGCACATGCATGATAGCCATGTCTCGCAGGCCTCTGCCTGCTATTCCCCGAGGCGTTGGCTTGCTACATTTGAAGAGCATTTGAAGCAAAATGGGCTGAAACCGTCACCAGCCAAGACTTGACCTTGCCAGGCTTTCTGTTTGAACTCGCCCGAGACCTTACAGCCTGACAACCCCTACAGGTCTTGGCGATTTCAATGGCGCCGCTGACGCCATGCGGCGTGCCGATCATGCGGACCCGTGTCATTGTGATGGTTGTCATTGTCCTTGTCATTGTTCTTCTTCTTCTTCTTGGAAGCATTTGCGTATGCCGCCACAGAGGGTGTGTCGAGTAGATTTCAGGCCAGCGACGTGCCACAACTCGAGACGTTCATGTTGCAGTTTGGACACTATTCTTACAGGGGGCTTGTGTATCGGTTTTTACATGTTTTCTTGTGCGGGCCGGGGCGGGGGGGGAGGGTGATGACATCCATTGCAGTGCGGAGTAGCTATTCAGTGCTTTTTTTGTTTCAGTGAAGCTTTGTGAGGAGGAGGTCTTGACGTTTAGTGCAGATTCTTCAGTGCATTTGGGCCTGGCGGACGTATAGGTACTGCAGAAGATATCGTCATTCCACGATCTTACATGCAGATAGCCACAGAGGTTCAAGCGCAGTACGGTTTTATAGTTTCGTTGCGATTGCAACTGCCAGGACAGCAGGCAGAGATGCAGTGAGCATCATGCAGGTGCACGCCCGTCCGATACTTGAAATCATGGCGAGACGTAGTCGGCTCTGGACCGTAGCGTGGTTCAGAGTCTACAGCGCAAACCCTCATTACTTCAATTGGCGCAGGTGCCCAGGGGAAACGTTGGACATGTCGCTTTGCGTTGCCAAAGAATCCCCCCAGCTGCTGACAGGCTTGATCCGGAAGGCCTATGAGCAGCCCTCGCACGAGTGGCTCACAGGCAGACCTAGAATGACTAGAAGTCCAGCTGGGTGCCTTCCATTCAGCCTGTTCTTCTCTGAGCTCGCGTGGTGGAAGGCTACCGCAAGCTCCAGGAAGCCTGGGGGTCAGTTAGCACGGTGGACGGCTGGAGGCTTCGGGTCTGCTTGATTGAAGCTGGTGCCCAATTCTTATGCTCTCGACTGCCAGGCAGTTTCTGCAGCATCCAGGTGCGGCGGACAGGGTTCAGGCCGCTTTGCCTAAACACATGTTATAGGGCGACAGGCATGCAGCTTTCTGAGAAGTTGTACAATTGCCTACCAGTTGCAAGGAAGGAGAGTGTACTCGGATCTAGTAGCTGCGTTGAGCTCCGACAACAGCGATGTATATGGTGATGGGTCATAGTGATGGTGTTGATGACGATGCGGTGGATGATATTCCGTATGACAAATGCTATCACAACCACCTGCAGCAGCATCATAAGCATCTTGTTTGGTCATGTTGGCGCATTTTCTTCCTGGCTTGCCCGCCCTTACGTGTTCATAAACCTTGAGGATCAGAAATGGTAGAAGCACAGCGAAACAGCATTTCGCTTTCCCCCAATGTCAGGAAATCACGAGGATCCCAGGGTTATTGACGATGACAACAGTGATATACAAATCGATCACGTGTAGGGAGTGCAAGGCATAGTAATCATCATGATTTTTGGTGCTTGCAGTCACGAAAGATGCCTCTTCAGGAACTTGCGGGAGTTGTTGGTAAAAACGACACCAACCGGCTAACAAGACGCTGACAAGCCATTCTTTGCTTTCTTCGTTTGCCGGCGCTGGCCGACTGCACCGAACAAAGGGGGGCCACGCGCACCTTAGCAATAAACCCTAGTCCCACTATAGCACCCTCAAGTATCTGAGGATGGTTGTTGACAAGCCGAATTCGAGGACTCTGCAGTCTGTGATACTGTGATACAGCAGCATCCTTCATACTGCCAGCTGGTTGTGCATAGTGATGGTCGCCATCTCTAGCTGGGAGTTGTAGCAGGTGCCATCGTCATATAGACAATCCTACTAGTCTTGCTTTGCGGAGTTTGTGCCATCGCTCCGACCCGAAGTTGTTGCAGTTGTAAACTCAGCATGTTCGGACTTTCCGGAGGCGTCCATTCGAGTGGGAACGGAGAAAGCCAGGGTGCTTTTCCTGGGCCGGCCGCCAGCTTCCCAGAGAAGCTGTGTACTTCTTTGTCTTGCAGGTTTTAGGGTTTGAGGCTCGTTTAGGGCTTGTGCACAGGAAGTGCAGCTTTCGGCTGCTGTGTTGCTGAGTGTTTGCATTAAGGCGTCCCTGTTCTGAATGTCGTCCCAAACGCGGCCCAAACGCAGCAAACGGCAGCAAGGAGTTGAAGGGACGGTCAGAGGTACAGATGATTTCGCACTAACGAGAAACGATAGCCGATCGGACGATGCAACTGCTGCAACAACGACGTGCTTTCGGGACCCAGGTGGCTTGTCTCCAAACTGGCCGAGAAGTGCTGCTCAAAGGGACAGCTGCAAGCAACAGATTAGCATGATGGTGCGGAGATTCAAGCCTCGTGTTTCCACGCCAAAGCCATTTAAAGTAACCATCTCATGCCTCGGCGGCGGTCCTGCAATGCTGCTCTAGTCCGCTGGACCTGGGCAGCGCATGGCAGGAATAATTTTCATGTGGCTACAACAACTGATTGCTGCCGCACCGCAGTCCTGCGAGCCGTCGAAAAGATCACCCAGCTATCCAAGGCTGCACAGAGGCCACGGTTGTCATTGTGCCACCCCAGAGCCATAGGTGCGTTCCATGAGGGGACAAGTGCCACGACTACGACGGTTGCAGCACGGCTGGAGACGGCGACCATGGTGCAGAAGGGGGGGCATCGGAGGAAGACGATAAACATGCCCACCAGATAGACCAGGATGCGGACTGATGAATGGACACAGAAGCTCTGCCTGGCACCCCCATCTCTCACACAGCCCGCTGGAAACCAAGTTTTCATAAATCCACTTAGATGTTGCACCACGAGGTCAGTACATCTACACAGCGTGGTGCAGATTCTGCGGATCATCCGCGAGGCAGGCTTTCGTGGCGGAGTGTGGGGGTCTCAGAGTTGCAGACTACTCGTACCTTCTTTGCATCTGCCGGTTCATAGACAAGGTGATGTTGTGCAGATGGAAGCTGTCAACTGCCAGGTCCATAATCTTCATTGGCCCGCCGAGTTCTGGATCGAGGCCTTCAAGAGTGGGCGCAGTGTCCCATGGGGTTTCCAAGCCTAACTACTGACATATCTCAGATCTCATTGACATCCACGAACAACCTTATCAGCTCTGTGATGGTGGAGAAGGAGCCTGACCGCGACAACAACAAGTACTTGTAGTGGCATGTCCAGAAGCGATAGCAACGGGGCACATCCAAGCAGGCAGTGGGGTCATTGGGGACTAGTGCCATCAGTATCAGTAGCGAGCTACATCTACACCGTCGGTCTCTAATGCCACTCTATGAATATGGGCATATAGGTATGTAAACAGGTATGTAAGTAGGCATGTATGTTCGATATGTATGTTTGTTAGGCATATCTGTATGCTTTCTGCGTTATGATAATGTTACGTTTTGTTGATTGTGGTGTGTCATGTTGTGCTAGTATGTATTTAAGTATAAGTAAGCATGTGTATGAATGTACGCAGGCACACAGCTCAGATTGTCGGTATCTGAATTTGTACATGTTATAGCTTATAACCTACAAGTCAGAAGCCAAGCAAGCCATTCTACTAAGCTGTTCCGCGAGACTGATTACTGCTGGGCTAGACGCTAGACACACAGTCGGATTCAGCTCTAGGACTCAGGGTAGTGCTGAATCCGCGGCAAGACCAAGAGAGTAACACAGTCTGTGTGAAGCAGTGGGTGGGTAAGATGGAGGCAGCCGATGCCACGATCCTGGATGATGATGCCTCCCAGCGCCTGAAAGCGCTGGGAGCTGCTTTGCGGGCTGTGCCTTCCCCACAGGTGCCTGTTAGAGCATGAGGGGCTTTGTGTTAGTAGATTTGAGGGGAAGCGCAGGTGCGGTGGTCCGGCTTGCCAAGGTCTTGACGGGTCGCTTCTTGAACCAGGGTCATGTATGGAGCAACCTACGGCTGATACTGAGTGCAGATCTGTTTTGGAAATCAGAAGCAAAACTCAGCTAGGCTCATACTGTAGCCTTCAACCAACTACGTGTCGCAAAGTGACTCCAGAGGAGCTCCGGTGGTTTCGTTGGGTATTGCAGCTACCTGCGTGGCTTGCTTCGGGGGAGTTGCCAACAAATGCTGATTGGTCGTGCTTTTGGTGGCAGAGCCAAGAGAGTTCCAGTTTTGCTGGCCGATCTACTGTATGAAAAGTATGCAGTGTCTGGAGCCACCCATAGATGTTCAGTTTGCAGGGCGACTTCCCAGAAGACCATCCCTTTTGGAGGTCCGCGACAGACCACTGATTCAGTTTGGCCTTCGTTCGCTTCAACATCTGGGGGACGTAATGTCGAGACAATCCATGCAAAGAACATGCACTGCTCCGTGCTACACTTGCACCTCAGTCGGTGGCTGCAACTATGCAGGTGGCAGGCACGGTTTGCCCGTCAGTATCGGCAAAATCCGGAGGCTGTCTCGAGGTGGGATTTGTGGAGTGTGCTCCTTCTCGCTTGTGCACCCGTTTGAGCCATCCAAAACCAGCATTGGTCGCTGTTTCTCGATTTTCCCAACGGCTCCTGATACTGTATCGGCTTGCATCCGTCGTGGGTGTATGTGGGCCTGCGCTTCTTTGTGTGCACTGTCCACATTTACACATTTTGCCTCGGTGGACAAGCGGATTTATGGATGCACAATGTGTCGACGCATTTACCTGTGTATCATGCCAGGGCGGATTCCCCAACAGTTATAGAGCACCACGACTGCCATAGCGACCAAGAGGACCACGACCGCTGACTAAGGCGACCACGACCACCAGGACCACCACGACGTCCACCAAGCAACCAGGAGACCCGGAGAACCTTAGGAGACCACCAGTAGCACGGCCAAACTGCTTTGCCCCAAGCACTGGTCGGATGCAGGACCACGGCCGCAGTGTGCTTTGCCCAAGTACTGACGAGATTCAAGAGGACGGCGAAAACGCTTCCTCCAAGTATTGGCTGATCCAGGGGCACAGTCGAAAATGCCTCCGCCGGGGTGCAGGAGGACGGCCAAAATGCTTCTCTCAAGTATTGCCATCAGAGATTTGGAGCCGAAGCGGGAGCCGTATCCAAGGCGTGTCTTTACTGCCGACGTAAGCACCTCATACTGTGATAGTGAGCAACACAATTTTTGGGTAACAAAGTTTTAAAGACGCGTGCAAGTCGGCAGAACAGGCACCAACTCTCTGCACTCAAATTTGTTGCATGTTAGCTTTCGGTTTATCTATGTTCTTTGTCTTTTTGTTCAAGAACTGTCTAAGTTCACGCACACAACTGACATACTCACATGCAAAGCCATGCCTGTCTGCTGACCGCCCAACATGAAGATGCATGGTGAGAGCATCAGGGATTGATAAAGTAGACTTCCGACGCATCGTTCCGGGAGGCTGAAGGCTTACTCGCTGAAGCCCGTCATCCTTGCGATGAGCGATTGTGCCCGGGCCCTTGCTGAGCTTCTTGGAGACTGGAGACTACTTGAAGTCAGAGCCTCCGCTCCGGAAGTGCGCCAAATCCTTTGCTGCGAAACCATTCCGCACAAGTGAGGAGTTGCCACGATTTGTGAGGACCCTTGTTTCTTTCTGGATGCCGACAATGTGCCCCTGCGGTCGCCACAGGAGCTTGCTGATTCTTCACGCTGTGACGCAGCACTGCTAAAGCTCCGAGCATCTGAGAGCTGTTTCTAGTTCTGTGTTTGTACTGTCTGTGCGCTGTATGACCGGAAAGGGTCCCGTGTAATTGCTTGTTTCCTGCAATCTTTAAATATGTACGATTTACAGTCGACTGCGTTCACCGCATTTCGTTTGACCCGAGTTCGACTTACAGATTAGGACTCACACGTTTCGCACATACAACGACATACAGAGGCACAGGCCAAATGGTATCACCAAACAGAGCGACAGTGCAACGGACCATATATGCATGACTTGCATCGGTGGCGAGGAACAAGGGTACGCAGATACACCATGCGGCCATTTGAGACTTAAAACGTACCGTGCGCATCCATGCATGCATGCATGCATGCATGCATGCATGCATGCATGCATGCTACGTACGAGTCAAGTAGGTAATTAGGTAGGCAGGTAGATAGGTAACTATGTAACATGTCCAGGGAAGTATGTATGTAGGTGGTTAAGTAAGTTTGCATGCAGGCATGTACATTTGTAAGCATATATATGAATACACATACACATACATATACATAAACATATACATATATATATATATACATACATACATACACACATGCATACATATATACAGATACACATATACACATATACATATACATATACATACATACACATACACACACATATATGGTATAATATGTATATGTATACGTATGTATATATA